ACATACTGACAGATACACATACATTCAGACTGACATACATGCATATATACAGACATACTGACAGACACACATACATACACACATACATACATTCAGACTGCCATACATGCATATATACAGACATACTGACAGACACACATACATACATTCAGACTGACATACATGCATATATACAGACATACTGACAGACACACATACATACACACATACATACATTCAGACTGACATACATGCATATATACACACATACTGACAGACACACATACATACACACATACAGACTGACATACATGCATATACACAGACATACTGACAGACACACATACATACAGACATCCATACACACATACACACAGCCATACGTTCATAATGATATGCAGACATACAGACATTTATATAGACAGACATATATACAGACAGACAGACATACAGACACTGACATCCATACACACATACATTCATAATGGCATACAGACATACACAGACATACATTCATTATGGGATACAGACATACTGACAGACACACATACATACTGACATACATACATACAGACATCCATACACACATACACACAGACATAAGTTTATAATGATATGCAGACATACATTGATACTAGCATACATACAGGACATACATACATACATACAGACATACATTCATACATGACATACATATATACATACATAGACATACATAGACAGACAGACATACATGCATGCATACAGACAGACATACATACATAGACATACATGCATGCATACAGGCATACATACAGGCAGACATACATGCATGCATACAGACATACATACAAATACATACATAGACATACATACACACACACATACACACAGCTCATTTTCCAGCCACCCTCCTGTCTCTTACCTTTTATTTGCAGCAGGGTGGCTGGGGCTGATAGGAGTAGTCAGCAGCACTTGCTGTGGCTTTTTTTTTTTTTGAAGGGGCCCCGGAAGATATAGAGCCCATCGGGTGGCCGTAAGTGCATGGACCACCCGATAGGCCCAATCAGCATGCGGGCCCCGGTGCAAGTGCCCCTGCGGCAGTTCCGCCGCTACACATGGGGCACGGGCGGCCGGGCCCCCGAGGGCCGCCGGGCCCGTGACAACCGTTATGGTTGTCACCCCCTGATGCCGGCCCTGCTTATCACCAACCCACACTAATACAAAATGAGCAACCAAAATTAAAATTAGGGGCATGCATGGAGATATACTCTAGATCCGAGACACAGATAGCCAAAGTGTAAACGTTTTATATGGAAATAAAACATATTTATATTATAAAAAGAATTCTAGGAAATATGGACTAATAGTGGAAGGGACATAAAAATAAATCCTTATACCAATACAAAAGAACTCAAGAAAAAGAAAATATCACATAAAGATCATTTTCATTTTGTTTTGGTGTCATGTTTGATTTAAAAAGGTGGGGGGCTGTGCAATCCTGCCAGAACAGAAATATTAGAAACAAAATATCAATCAATAAGTAACTACAAAAATTACCATATTATAAAAAATAAGGAACGAGATTAGATTTTCCTTCTACAGCAGGTGGGGGGAAAAAAGGCCAGCGAGCTCTTATCTGCCATCATATGCTAGATTTCTGTTATATCCAGCACAAAGTAATTGAAAGCTAATATTTCAACATCTCTGTAAAGCGTGGTCCTCATTAGCTTTAAGAACCTGCAAGTGATCATAATGATTAAGTAATGTGAGTGGACCAGGCTTATTGTATCGCAAGCTAGCGCGAGCTGCCAAGTTCTCTGGCGGCGTGACAGAGGGTCCAGAAAGAACATCGGGAGGAAAACAGCAAACAGATGTCATGCACGGAGATTTGTAAATATTTTACGACGGGCTGTTGTGGAAAGAGAAAGGGAAAAAAAAGCACAAAAAAAAATAACAGCAAGTGAAATTGAATAAGAGCCCATGGAACAAGATGATCTCTCTGTAGAAATGTCTGCTGTTATAACTGATGGAATGATATTTCCATACATCAGGTGAGAAACACTCTATATTGGGACTGTTTCGATGTGGCCTATGCAAATACATGCTTCGTTATGGACACATTGTATTCGCATTCCGAGTAAGTAAATTAATTTAAGAACAGCTCCGCATACCCAGGTTAACATGTTCCTTGACAATAACCTTATTTAAAGAAATCATGAAGGCGTACTATCGTTTTATGCTTTTTTGAGGTGTTACAAGTGTCTCAAATGCTTTCTCTACAGTGTAAACAAACAGCATCTTAATTTGGTGTTTAGAATAATGAGCTTTCTTTATGAAAGCAATGGACTAGTCTGGTTTTCAGCGAGGTTACCACATTACCATACAGTTAGATAAATTAACTTCTTATCTCCCGACATTGTGACAATTAGGGCTGCTCATGTGCACAGTGCTGTAGAAGTGCTCTTTCAGGTACAGAAACCCAGTGAATTGGTAAATGATGGAACAGCAATTTTATGGGGAATTTGGGGAAAATGGGGAAGACGAACATCAAAGAAAAATTAAAAAAGTACAGGGATCCCAAATTGGGACAGTCTCAGCAATGCTTCCAGGCCTCAATATCACAGAAACTGATTTCATGGATACAGTTTAAAAGGACCTTTCCGGGCTATATTCACCTTACCGGGCTACATTCATTATTTCCTTGTCTAAAATTCCATATTTTGTGCTTCCTTAAGAACTGCGTATGTACGAATCTCAAGCAGCTATCAGAACCCACTTTGATCTGCGTGGAAGCCATCAGAGAATGCAAGTATAACATGAATTTTGAACCGTAATTGGTCCTTGATGAGTTGAAATTGTCAAATAATACCATTGGTAGGAGGAAGCTGACATAGGGAGCGTATGCCTGCAGTAATTTTTACTGTAGCTCCGAACAACAGAATACAGGCATACAGTGGTAGTAAGGTACCCCTTTGTTCCATATCCTATTCATGAACATAAGTGCACATGTTGTATGGAGTGTCCCTTGTATGAATTATAAATTACCTTTATTACTTTAGGTATAAACAAACATATTGTTCTAACTTGAGAATGATCACCTTAAAGGGACAATATAGTCCCCATAACTACTGCAGCTGAATGTAGTGGTTCGAGGCATATATCATGTCCCTGAAGGATCGGCAATGTAAACATTGACTTTTCTGAGAGTTAAGGTGAGTGAAAATATTTTTTTAAGCCCTGCAGGGGTTCACAAATATAAATGGTGAAGAGAACATTTTAGCATTAGGAGTATACGATTGTATTCCTAAGACTGCAGTGTTCCTTTAAGCCACCTAGGGCCTTGAACACCTAAGGTCGCAACTAGCAGAACGCTCTTATTATATTTTGAATTCCAAAAATGATCAGTTTAGTTTGTTTCATCACCCAGAAAACAAAAGGCAGCCACTTCTAAGCATTTCAGGAATATATTCCACAAATCTAACATTTCCACGTTATAAATCTGAACACGTTTTCTCAATCACACGCCTACAATGCAGGTCTTTATCTCGTTATGGTGCAGAACACCCTCAAAGCATTGCTCCGTGACAGAATCTGTGTTGAGAATCACATTGCTTTTATAAAAGCTCACGTTCTCTGTGATCATTGATTAATCAAGTCTGAATTCTCTTGTTAGGGTAGCAGAGACCACATCAGAGGGCAGCACATGCTACGTATTGGACATCCTCTCTAAGAAAACAGTTGGTACAAGCCCCCCGAGAGTTCCGATCGCCTCCTTCTTAGTTCTGTAAACTACAGAAGAGCTCTTTGCAGGAACCCAGTTTGTTTGGATGAAGCAGTTTATTTTTGATGGAACTGGATCTCTTAGAAAAATAATCATTGTGAGCGTCTCTCATCAGGAGGTGACTGCATTACACCAGGAAAACTCACACCATTCCAAAAGCAGATTGCGTGCTGTTGGCCACCTCCTGGTTTAGTAGGTAAATTATCTTTTAAAGACAGGATTAGATACCCACCATGGCTAAACTTACAAACTGGGAAACGTGGTCTGTGTAAGCAAACTGGACAGTGTTTGGATGCAGCGTGTCGACCCATTTTCCCGTACGATATGAAACATTGAATATTTATTAATGGAAATATGACAACTGCAGTGGTTTAACACAACAGATTCCGCATTGAAAGCTCCACTGTCTGTTTATAATGGAAAATGTTCTGTGGGCAGTAGAGATGGGTAAATCTTGGGTAACTTCAGCAAGTCAGCCTTGTTTTCTCTACCATCGCTTACAAGCAACATGTCGGTCTACAATAGATTTATCAAAAATCGAGTAACAACCTCCAGTTTTCTGTTCAGTCGAACCAATGGGGGACCCAAACCGGGTTCAGTGTCTGCAAAATGTTCCCTGAAACCTTCTGGAGTTAAGATGAAAAGACATAAAATCTGCCTCTCTAATAATTTATCTGCATGCATGAAAAAATACACAGAACTATTACAAAACAAAACAAAAAAAAGACAGGCAGAAAATCAGGATTTCCAGTTTTTCAGAATGATTTTCAGTTTTTTTTTTTGTCCTATGGATGGGTACCACCAAGATAAGTAACGCTTACCTTCCAAACTGCAGCTCGTTCTTCTCTGATGGACAACTGCTCTATTTGGAAACAGCTCTGCAAAATTTACATGCAAAATATTAACAATATTAGTCAAGAGGGGAAGAAGGCTTTGCTCAAACTAGCTTACAATCTATGAGACTCCCGTTCGGAAAGAAAATATCACCATTTCAGTACAAATGTGAAGACTAATAAAAACCAGAAAACGCAAGTATGTTCATACGTTGTTAAATCCACTGCAAAATGCACAGAAAACGGTGGGCCAACACCAAATTGTGAATGCCAAAATGTATGGTAAGAATAGCAACCTGTGACTATAGTCAAGATAATGAACTTTACAAGTTTGGAGATTTTACAATACGTACTGCAATTAGAAATTCAGTGCATAACAATTTGGTGTTTAGTGGATAAACGCAATGTACTTTAGTCAAGATCAGCCTAAATTCTCTGAAGACAGTCACTTGCCTAAAATCCCAATATTAAAATATCCCCTTCTGTGATTTCTGATATTCAAGGTAGCCACAATCCTGGATCGCTCCCGGATCTCTCAACCTTAATTCTTGACCATCGCTCATACACCAGGAGACATTGCAGCTTCCTATTCTGTCCCCCAAAAACCTCACCCCAACATATCAGTAATTGGAAAGGAACAGAATGATGTCTGCACTTGCGAAAGCCCCTTGCTGAAGCCAAGAAGTGCAACTCCCATCAATCTCTAGGAATTCTGGAACAAGGACGTATAATACGGAAAAGGCAGAGGAGCGACCCTGGGAAATCATTAGGGAATAATTTTTACAGAATGGCTTGGGTACACAGAGCACAGCTAGTGTAAAGCAAAACAGCAAATATGGTCACTGACAGAGGTTGCACTTTTAATTTTGAACAAAAATAGATTTTATCTGCGCAGGCACCAAAACGACTACACAGGATGTATACGCTAGGATATAAAATCATACTTACAAGAAACTAGCTAACACAAGACAACTACACAAACCAGCCAACACAAGGCAACTACACAAACCAGCTAACACAAAGCAACTACACAAACCAGCTAACACAAGACAATTACACAAACCCAAACCACACTAGGTTCTACCAGCCCAGGCAATATGTCTTAAAGTTCGCAGAGTACACACCTGCCTAACTAAACTAACTGCACCTGTTCAGTTTACCTGTTTCAATATATCCGCCTCTGCGTAGGCGACCATATGCTTCTACAATAATATGTTTGATATCCGCATCTACGTTGGGATGACAATAAAAAACTATTTAAAACAAAAATAGATTTTAGGTCAAATTAAAAATATTGTATTATTTGTATATTCAAGATTCGACAAATCTCAAATGTAGCTGTCCCAGTTTAAAGGATTAAAAATCTAAATCTAAGAATTTTGAAAGCCAGAACAGCAGTTGTCTAGAGTTTATTTAAACACTTTACCCACACGGTGCCCACTCTCAGACGATCAATCTCACGGTTGTCCGTAAAGGATCAATCCTTGTGGGAATTTGCTTGTAAGGGTCAAGCTTTTAATTGGAGGACAGGAAGCTCTTGATACAGCTGCCAAAACTTTTCCGTGTGCCCCTCTATGGATCTATTGTAGTATTCTGGGAGACTATGTAACTCTCCTATAGCACGGAGCAAGGAATCCCAGCCAGCCATATTGCATCAGACAGAGGGTTAGTCAGAACAAGAGGCGCACTATGAACAAAAAAGGGGAACGGGGGAATTCGGGAGAGCATTATGAATCATTTTCACAGAAAACATTTTGAGCTTGTGTGAACTAATTCTGCAAATAAGATCAATGACTGTCTAGTGTTTTACCTGAAGAATATCTTGAGATATTTTGCTAAATGGAGAGAAGACAAATCACGACTGTCTAGATATTAATGGAATACTGTGCATTATGTAGATTTACTTCCAAAATGTTTTATAATAAAATGTATACTTTATAACTATTAAAATATTGTTACTTTTATAAACATACTTCATTTGGTGATATTAAACAAAAAACAGGTGCGGTTATTATTCCATTCTCCCAAAAGCCAACCTTTAAATACTTAAAAATACTAAATATTACTCACACATTTGATAAAAGAAACCGGTCATTTTGTTTTTATTATTATTCAAAATAAAAGAATAAGTGTAAAAAAAAAATATTTTGTATATTATTTTTAATGCATATGTTAAAGTGAATGTCTCTTCTCAATAAAACTTCTGGTTTAATCTTGCTTACGCGGACGTGGCCATCTTTATGTCTTTTCTGATCAGAAGCAAATATTATCTAACAAAACAAAAGACCACAAGCGACGTTTCTGGGCTACAACGCTCATAGTCGGTGACCGGCTGAATGTGATGGGGATTTTAATTTTCAACAGCTGACTACTAATAGATATTGTAGCCTTGCAACTCCCAGAATCAGGAGTTCATTCAATAAATCCGGTACGATGAAGGTTTTACAATGTGATTGAATGTGTTAGGCCAATATAAACAAGCAGGAAAAGGAGCAGAGAGCAGAATTGGAGATTTTCTTTTCACAGTGATGATTTTTGCCTAAATTCTGCAATTTTCTGGTCAATTCTGCATAATTTCAAGTTTAGTAAATAAGCTCTTCAGTCTGCTAAACCTCCCCCCCCCCCCGACACTGTATATAATTTCTTAATGGGCAAAATCTTAGATTATATCAGGATCATTTGCATTTCAAACACTAATCTGCAGTCTGCAATGTGGAATCTGGGTTGGAGCTCGCAGAAGGAGCTGTATTGCTGAGGGCTTTCTTTGTTCTACATTCAGCCCATAAGGAAGGGGAACAGTTGTTGTTTTCTTTTTAATAATAGGAATACGTGGGATAATTTCTGCCTTGGGAAAAACCCAGCACCTTCGTAATTTCAGTAACTTGGAGATTGTTTTTACAGGTGGAATCAGCAAGCAGCTCTTGGTTTAAACGGGATGATTCTTTTCTGACAAATTGGTTCTAGCGGGTCTCCCACGCACCCTGTCATTTACTGAGCTAATAATCAGGAGTTAAGGTTATTTTACACAATCGCCTTGGCCCCTGTGCTGAGTCAGGCTGAGCTAGCCCTTTTCAGAAGGTGAGAGGGCTAAATATTCATATTGCCCACCCCATTATACATGTCTGCGTCCTGTAACCAACCTTTACAAATGCCATGGCTTTGCATGTCTGGTGTGGTCAGGACAGAAGTGATTCCTTTTCTAAAATAGATTTTAGGTAAACAGATGTAGTTTATACGTGGTGGATTATGGGCAAGAACATCTGATATTCTGAACAAAATTACATAGTGCCGCTGAATAGTTTAAACCAGTGTTTCCCAAACCACTCCTCGCAACCCACCAACAGTCCAGGTTTTGCTAGTATCTCCATTGGAATAAAAAAGGGAAATACATAAATCCTGGATTGTTGGTGGTCCATGAGGACTGGTTTGGCAACCTCTGGCCTAAAATGTTTAGACATCTGAGCAGAAACCTACATGGACTTCTGAACACAGTATTGTGTACCGACTCATCATGCCACCTTGGCCAGTGTAAACACTACCACCGTGCCAGTGTACACACTACCTTTCTCCCCATGAAGTGTCTTAGGAAGAATCTTATCATGGCATCTTTATGTTGGTGAGAATATACATGAGAATTCCACTTGGCGTGAGATTAATCTCATCATGGCAGCCTTGGATTGGTCAGAACACACTTTAAAATTCCACTCCCAGAATCCCTTGTATCAAACTAAGATTGATGGAATTATGGAAAAAGTAGAGCAATCTGCAGGAACATTCTATTTTATAATCATACCCTTTGACTCCACAGAGTTTCTTTTCTTACTGAAAGTGTTTCCTCCTCTGCTAAATCTAATCAGCAACAGTTGCCTTACACTATACACCATTGCTGGAAGCATATAGGACTAGTGGGCAAATAGACTAAGAGGTCCCTATAAGGAGTCATGTCTTAAGAATTTAAACATAATTGTAAAACTATTCCCCAAACACCTCAAAACGGCATAGCTCGTTGTTATGGTTCTGAGAAGCAATGGGCAAAATCCTTTAGTCATTTTTTAGACCAAACTACATTCAGGTATCGCTCACTTGAACTTGGCAAACAAACAGAGCAGAATGAGTTCATAGTTATATCTACAGGAATATGCTAATTTCAGGATTGTGGAAAGAAAGCTTAGTGTTATGTCTACTCACAATCCATCGCAGGTTCTGTATTGTGTCTAGGATAATCTGTTGAATTAAGTGTAAAATCTACAGTAATCTGCAGTGTTTTGTCTATGGCACTCTACCGATCTCATTGTAAAATATATGGAAACCAATTGCATTTGCCTTTTATCTATCGTAATCTACTGAATTCACGGTAAAATATATTAACCTTCTGAGGCCAATTTTATGTTTAGTTTAATGTGAAATCTCTGGTAATGAACTGACTTTCACGTCATATCTATTAGGGCAAACTGCAGACTTCATCGTAAAATCTATGGTGAAGCCAGATGTAGCCGGAGATTGTGGCTACCAAATCGCCAATTAAAATTGATAAACAAACTCAGCAGTGTGTGCTTGAGGTTTGGCACTGGTGATGATAACCCGTATTGCACTTTACAATTTGATAGCCAAAGTTAGTCTACGGAATAGTTCAAACCAAAAAAAGAACCCTTGAAATGTCAATCAAAGTCAACTTCCTCCTCCTGTCGGAAAAGTGTAGCCAAATTGATCTCATCGACAGATAAACAGTCACTTGTTTTGTATAGTTGTCGATTGTAAACGGCTTTTGTTGCAAAGCATCATACGATCTGTAAAGTATCAATCACAAAAGAGCAGCAGATTGTGGCATACCTCTAAACAAATCAAGCAAATACCAGTTGTTGTTTTTTTGTTTAGAGATTATTGCTACTCCCTATCTGTCCAATGTAGATGTCTTTCTCCCAAACAGATAAGATGCTAAAGGGATGGGTGGTAACATTATTGTGTTGTAAACCACGACATCTGCCATCGAGCCAATCTTTCCTCCCAGAATCCTTTTCTCACTCACCGATCTGTGTGTGATTGAGAAAGTAGTCGATCATTCGTATGCAAATAGGAGGAGTGTCTGAGCAGATGTGAAACATTTGGTTCTGTCCTTGTTTTCGTGTAAGGAAAACAAAACTTCTCTTTTGGAAACAAAGAAACGGACAGCGTTTGCAACAATAGCTTTCAACCTTGGTGGGCTTATCGACCTAGATTACCGGGGCCAGGCTGTGCCAAGTATTTATGACGATGTGATTTGGGAAGAGCAACAGGAAAGTGTAATTCTCCCCAAGCCACTTCCAACGCTCCAAGAGGAAAATGTAAGAACAAATTTAACTTTACCAACACCCAGCAATTAATTATTATTCTTATTTCCATTTATAAAAATACATTGCTGTTTCCATCCTCTTGGTTGGTTTACAATTCTTTCATTCCAAGAAATCACTTGCTATATTTATATCTTATAAATAAATGTAACATTGAACAATTTTTAATGGAATGACCTCACAGATCACAAGGTTTGCTCTGTTGCAGATACAGATACTCAATAATACACATAATTATTTAAATAATTCAATAAGACAATGGGAAAAAGTGTCATACATTTATCTTTCACCTACAAACGCAAATATGTATTGTATATTCATAATATAGCGTCCGTTTTT